GTTCCTAGTTCCTGTGGTGTGGGTGAAGAGGAGGCCAGGGTCATGATGGTTTGGGTCCTGTGGATTCAACCGCACCGAGCCTGTGTCTTGAAGGCCTGTGAATATTCATTCCTGCCCCACCAGCTCTTCTCTGGGCCTGGAGATGAGGGAAGAGGTCAGCTTGTGGTTTGCATCAATCATGGATGAGAGAAGTGGCTGAGTCAGTTGGATGAGCATCCTCTGGATGTCTGGAGGTCTGCATTTGCCTACAGCTGTTTCCGACAACCAACGAGGTCCAGAGCCCACTACAGAATTATCAGTTTGCCCTCCTTATCTGCACAGCAACCAGGGAGGGTTGACGTTATCACCCCCCATTTTAGAAATGAGGACACAGGCTCTGGAGAGCGCGGCGCTTGCGGAGGTCTCGTAATAAGTAAATGCTAGCACCTGTCACCTGAGTGGCACCATGCTAGCTGGGAAGGGACGGTGTCGGAAGTATCCACAGGGCACCCTTCATGCTGTACCCCAGCTTCCACTCTGAGCGTCCTGGCACTAGGTTGTCACCCAAGTTCATATGCGGCTGACGGATCTGATCAAGACCTAGGGTCAGCCTCCCCCTAATCAGGGATAACCGGTGATGAGCGCTTCTTCTCATCCCTCTGATCCTATTATTTTATTCCAGAGTTCAAAGTGTGGCTCCAGACGCCCAGGGGCTGTCAATGAACAAAAAACAACACAAGAACAAAAAACAGGGGTACAAAAATAAAGCTTCTCAACTAAAGTCCCCCAGCCTTCAGTCATGCTGCATTTTCTAGGGAAAGCCAAGCCATTTGTGCCTCCTGCCTCCTGTCCAGCCCAGTTCAGTTTAAGGAGGCTCTAAAACCCCAGATTTGGTCCCCAGGCTCCTAGCTGGCCATGAATCTCAAACTAGTCTCTGCCCTACTCTTACCGCAAAGCAGAATAGACATTTATTCACCTCAAATGTGTGTATGCCAGGTATGATGGTTCACACCTTTAATTTCTGCACTTGAAAGGCAGAGGCAGTTGGATCTCTGTGAGTTCGAGGCTAGCCTGGTCTACATAGTGAGTTCCAAGTCAGCCAGAGCTACATACTGAAACCCTGACTGAACAAAAAACGAAAGTGAATAAATGTGTGTGTGTGCACACGCGCGCTACGGTGCACATGTGCATATGTGTGCATGTGTGTGCATGTATATGTGCATGCATTTGTGTGTATGTACTGTGTATGTATGTATATGTGTGTATTGTGTGTGTGTGCATGTGTGCACACATGTATGTGTATAGACCAGAAGACATCTTTCAGATGATCCTCTCCTTCCACCACATGGGTCCCAGGAATCCAGTTCAGGTTGTGAAGCTCAGCAGTAAGCACTTTGACCCACTGAGCACCCCAGAATGGGCTTTGGTTAAATATTTGACTGGTTTTGCCATCTTTAGTCTCCTGTTTCCAAGGACAGAAGCATTGCCCAAGGTCGACAAGTGCCTGTCACCTGTTATGGCTGGGACTGGCCTGCAGGGGGCAGAAATCACCAGGGCTAAGAAGATGTGTGGCTGTTGTGCCTAGCCCTTTAAGACAGATGCTAGGCAGAGGAAGGGGACAGTTTTTAGGTGCCAAGACAGTGGTCGGGGCCTTGTGTAAGTATTGTTTCATTTACCACCCGCAAAACCCTGAGAGAGAGGCGCTCTGAATATCTAAGAGACCGAGACTACAAAAGTTCTGTGAGAATCTGGTCCATAGCAGGTCATCCTGCCTCTGCATTCCAAGCTCTGACCCCTTCCTTGGTGGTCTTTTATCTTTTTTCTTTCCTTTCTTTTTTTAAAAAAATATTTATTTAATTTTTTAGTTTTTCGAGACAGGGTTTCTCTGTAGCTTTCGGGTCTGTCCTGGAAGTAGCTCTTGTAGACCAGGCTGGCCTTGAACTCAGAGATCCGCCTGCCTCTGCTTCCCTAGTGCTGGAATTAAAGGGGTGTGCCACTACCACCACTGCCTGGCAAGATTTATTTATTTTTATTTTATGTGTATGAGTGTTTTTCCTGTGTGTAAGTATGTGTACCACATGTGTGCCCAGTGCCTTCAGAGCTCAAAAGAGGGACACTGGATTCCCTGAACCTGGAGTTACAGAGGGTTGTGGGTGCTGAGAACCAAACCCAGGTCCTCTGCAAGAATAGCAAGTACACTTAATGTCTCAGCCATCCTTCCAGCCCCTCTCAGTGGGTCCTAATGCCGACTATAGATTAGAGATCCCTAGGGAGCAGAGTAGACAGCTTTCGGTGCTCAGAGAGCCACCTACACCCACTGAACAGGGTTTTCAGAGCAGGTTCCAACAGTCAGGGCTGAGGACCCATCTTAGTCCATCTTTTTCTGTTTATTTAGACCTGAGGCCTAACATAAGCCCTACTGCTAGGTCGGGCAGGTTTGTCATTTCAGAAAGACTTTATAGCTGAGTGTGTGACTTAACGCCACACACAGAGAGAGGGCACAGTAGGAGGATCCAGGCTTCAAGATCATAACCAATTACCTAGCGAGCTCAGGCCAAGGTGGGTCTCAGCGGGTAAAGGTGCTTGCCACCAAGTGCAGCAGCCTGAGTTCAAAACTCAGGATCCTCACGGTAGAAAGAGAAACTTGACTCCAGAAAGTTATCCCTCTGGCTCCACACACTGCCTCTCCTCACACAGATCAATAAATGTAATTTTAAAAATAAACAGACAAGTTGGGCAGTGGTGGCACACGCCTTTAACCCCAGCACTCAGGAGGCAGAAGCAGGCGGATCTCTGTGAGTTCGAGGCCAGCCTGCTCTGCAGAGTGAGTTCCAAGACAGCCAGGACAGTTTCACAGAGAAACCCTGTCTCGAATCCGCCCCCCAAACCACAATAAACAAACAGCAACAACAACAAAAAAAAATCCAACAACAGCAACATAAACACCACAAACCCAGCACCTGAGAGGCAGGACTCTCCTCCACAAGTTCAAGGCTAGTCAGAGCTACAAAGCAGACGATCTGTTTCCTAGGTTTTACAAGAAACACTATTTATTACCCAGTATAGCCCATGTCTCCTTTTTAGATTCTGTCTACAAGCCTCTCCTGATCTCCACAGACTAAGTTATAGCTCTCCCCTGTCGCTATCAGAATTTGTGGGTCTCTTTCTCAGCGTTGATCTTAAAAATGGTAAATAATTGTGCTCCTCACTTGCTCCTGCCCACCAGCAAGGATGTAAACTCCTCTTCCTCCTCATTGTTCCCAGAGCCAAGCACAGCGCCCGGCACATCAACGCTGGGCAAACGATACTTCCTTCTTCCACTTGAGTAATTACTTATCGGTGCCTATTATGTACCACAGGCTTTCCTGTATGCACTTTATTAGCCAGACAGGGAAAGTCCCATTTTCTAACGGAGGAAACCGAAGCTCAGGAATGAAAGGCGATCACAGGCAGAGCCCAGTCTCAACCTCAGACCCCAGATCCTTTCTCGCTCATGGGAGGACATTGAACCTGACCCCTGGGTCAGAATAGTTCCTCCTTCATGCTGTTTTGCATTTGTTAGCCTTCTGTTTTTCCCTTCCCAGCTCCGTGGCTTCTTTACCCTCTTTCCTGCCCCTTAGCTGGTCCCACGCAGGCTCCTCCTTTTGTCCTCAGGGAGTGGCCTCTCCTCCTTTTACCCCTCCTCCTAAGAGTATGACCCAAACAAGGCATCAAGAAATTGCCTTGGCTAAACCATTCCCTGGTCAGCAACTGCACCACAGCCTTGGTGAACCAGCCAGCGACTACTTTATAGCCTCCTAGGACAGTGTCTGTGCCACCCACTGGGCAATGTACCCAGCCATCTTCCTAATGAGATTTCTAACCAGACACCCAAACAGGACAAAAGTCCCCCGGAGAGGAAGCAGTCTGGGCTGAAGTATGTGATTGCATCAGGGGCCTGGGCGTGGGTCAACTTCCTGGTCCGTCTCTGGCGCCCCCTGCTGGGGAAAAGCTGGATACAAGGAAACAGAAATCTCTGGGTACCGGCTACGACTGCAGCTCTCAAACAAGGATATTCGAGGCTTGGAAAGGATTGTCTTGCCAAAGCAAGAATTTGGAGGGACAAGGACTATCCAGTCATTTGTACAGTTCCAGCTGTGGGACTTCGAGGACCATTTTAAAAAGACAGCCTCCCTGTTCTGCACTCCCAACGAAAGAGCCTCAATCAGGAATAGGCACAGAATGAGGACGACCAGAGGAGACCTTGGTCATGTCCTCTGTTCCAGGACCGCCTCCATCCTGCTCCTCCTCCCCTCAAGGCCATATCTTGGCTCCCCAAGGGTCAGGGAGCCTTTACAGAGCAAAGAGAGCAGAAGGAAATAGCTGATTACAGCTGTGGGTTCAGCTGCACTGTCAGCCCCGAGCCTCATCGCATGTCAGCGATGAGGCAAGTGTGAAAAATAGAGCGTAATAGAGACGTCAGAAGATCTCCCAGGCCCTCGACTGAGAACTACCCAGATGCTCATCTAGCTGGAATTGCCAGTGACTGATGAAGCATGCTTGTCCGGCTCACTGCTCTGCAGAAGAGGCATCCAACTCCCTGGGGTCCTGTGTGTGCATGCATGTGTGTGGTGTGTGTGGTGTGTGTGTTTGCAAGCTGCAAGGCACCCGGGCTTTGGGGGCCCAAACTAGCCGGCTTTCCCTTCTGGATCGGCTGGCCTAATTCCCAGCTGCAGCTGCTACCTTGGGTCCCCCTCCCCAAGGCAATCTCCCTGCATATTTGGCAACATGGAAAGGAGGGGCTGAGGGAAGGGGAGAAGCCGAGAAGAGTCTCTAATGCTCTAATCTGATGTTGGTGATCGGAAAGGCTTCCCAGCGCCAATGCCCTCTGCCGTCAACTCTCCAGGGGATTTTTTCGATGCCATGCACTCTTCCCTTCTGCCTTTGTCCCCTTAAGAAAGTTAAACCTAGATATACAAATACACATACAAACCACCCGGAAAAGAAAAAAAAAAAAAAGCAGCAGAAGCAGGCAGACGAGCACGCGCGCACAGGCTCAGCTCTGTCCTGGAGGAAGAGCGGCACAGGCAGGGACGCTAAGGTTGGCAGTGACCCAGACTGAGGTCTCTTGGCCCCCCAGGCGCCTTCTTCATGGACCCAGAGATCGCCAGCGGGGCTGCATCAGTGTAGGATGGGCAACTGCGTCAAGTCGCCATTAAGAAACCTCTCGAGAAAGGTATGTTTGGAGCCCCCAAGTCCCTAAGTGCTGGGGTTGGGAGCATCCTGCTGCCTGCACCAGAGGGCATGGAATGGGTGGGTACCTGATGCTCGCTACTCTTCCAAGGGTGTCTGCCCAATACTGTGTCCCTGTTCCAACTTCAAGGTACTCTCCCTTAGCAGATTCTTATGTCCTACGCAGGCTCTGAACTAAATAAAGTTAAGGCTGAAGGGTAGGGGTGGAGGGGCAACAGAGTCGGGGAAGGCCATATTTGGGATTCACACAAGAGCTAAGAAAGAAATCCTGTGACTTTGGGACTTCTGGGGTGTAGCATGAAAGGTGTGGATTCTTAGGAAGGTGTGTGTGGATGGCACACAGCCATCCCAGAGCCTTCCACAATCAGAGGCTCTTCAGAAGCAGGCCCGATGGCTTGTAGGGGGTCTGTGTTCCTTGCTGGTACTCTCTAAGCCTTTAAAATTGGGGTTTGAAGAAACCCCATTAACGAAACAAATTTCTTCTTTTGCTTGTACCTGCAACAATTCTCGAGTCAGGTGTGAGAGTATCTAAGGGCTTAGAGCCAGGGTGACTGCTTTTGAGAACCACGGTGCCCAAGAGATATGTGGGTCGGGAGCCTACGTGAGTGTCACTTTCCTGAGTGGATTTATTGCATTCTACGCTGTGACAAGATTCTTTTGCCAGAACTCCTTTGGGAAAGCGAGTGTTCTCCCCTCTTTAGGAAGGTCTGGGCCGTATCTGCAGCGTGTCTTCCAGTCGGGGCTCACCTATATTGTTAACCTTTCGTAGTCAGGCCATAGACCCGTGTTAAAGAAGACAGCACTGATAAAGATATTTGCCTCCCATATTTTCATTTTCCAAATAAGAAATGATTGCCAATTACGGGGATTGGGGGTGGCAGGGATGGGGGGTCAGGTGACTTATGTAAGGTTTGGGATTGGTTGGTGGAGCCTTCACTCAGGTCCCGTCCCATCTTTCCCATTAGGTTTCTGACCTCTCGATTTAGGACACTTGGGGCTTTTTAGCCCGTCGTCTCCTTTGGCTAAGCTGTTCACATCAAATTCCATTTAATCTTCCCTGCTCCTTGGGTTGCTCGGAATACTGCTGTTCTGTTGTGTGTCCCCGGCCTCATGGTCTGTCATTCTCTTAAGGGAAGTCTTCTGCCTCTTAGGGGGGTGATTTGGGGAGACGGAAGCTGATCTGAATTAGAGAGTATGCCAGGCAAACACCAACACAAAGGGTCGTAAGCTTGCGGGGTGGATTTAAGAACGAGCTCTTTCCTCTGCCTCCTACCAGGCAGGTCTCCTCTTCCTGCTCATGTGATCTTGGACAAATTACTTAACTTCCTGTGGCTTAGTTCCTTTGCCTATCCAATCACCTGGGACTGCTAATGTCTACTGACATCTTCCAGTGTGTGTATATTAATGGGGATCAAACCCAGAGCCTTACACATGCCCCAGGCCTAAGGTGGGTTTTTTGTTTTGTTGTGTTTTGTTCTGCTTTTTAGAAACAAGGGCTTACATCGGAGCCAACGCCTCGGCATCTCACATATTGGGATTACAGGTGTGAGCCGTACAGCTGGCTCCTAATGCTTAACTCTTTTCTTTTTTGCTTTTTTTTTTTTTTCTCTTTAGGCAAGATCTCACTGTGTATTTGTAACTAACCTGGAATTTACTAGGTAAACCAGGCTGGCCTCAAACTCAAAGATCTTATGACTTGGCCTCCAAAATGCTAGGATCAGAGGCATGCATCACCACAGCCAGTCCCTGGTGTGTAACTCTCAGAATGATTGTGTGCTGTGCACAATGCCAAGTGGATAGTACTGGACACATGTTAGGATTTCATCCCCACAAGAGATAAACAGGAGGGTAGAGAAGTGGAGACCATGGGGATGGTCGCCAGTGCCTTCAGGTTTTTGGTTCTGTTTCTGCTGTCTATTTTGCTTTTGAGGTGAGGCCTCTGTGATAGCCCAGGCTGGCCCAGAACTTGCTCTGTAGCCTAGACTGGCCTGGAACTCAAGATCTTCTTGCCATGTGTTGGAAATATAGTATAAGCATAAGCCACCACCCAGACAGAGCATGCATTCCCCAGAGCCTCTACCACCGAGCCACGGTGCACCTGGATCCACTGGACACGTGATCTTAAATCTTAGCAATTATTTCTTTTTCTGGATTATTTGCGACATATCAGACGTCTGCCATCTCACCCGCTCTTTTCCACCAAATAGTCCTCTTGGCTAGTTTGCAGGGAAGGGAGCTGGATTCAGAGATAAGGGTTTCCAAGGTCACTCAGTGGCTAGCAAGCAGAGCTGGGATTTAGAGCCTGTACCGTGTAAAGTCAGAGCTGGTATTTTATGTGTGCTCTTTCTTTCTCCCGCTGCCAGAAATGTTATTCATAAATTCTCAAATATGATCTCTGTGATCATCTAGTCCAGCTGCCTAATCTGTGCAGCACATGTCTTCTCCCATCTCCTTGAGCACACGCTCTTCAAGCTCTCCTTGGCCATGAGCAGGGGGGAGTTTTGACCTGTGTGCCCTCAGCCAGCTTGTGTTGCTGCAGAGCCAGAGGTCATGATGTTCTCTGATATGCTGGCCTCTCTTGGTTCCAGGCCAGACATTATTGGCCTCTGGCTCAGCCTCTTCAGTGGAAGCCGGGGAGCCGGACATGGTGATAGGTAGCCTGTTTCAGGCCCTGAACTGGGCAGGACCAGCCTGTCAGGTGCCATCATCACTGACTAGGGAAGAATGGCTGCCTCCTGGGGCAACCTGGTGCCAGGCAGAGTTATAATCAAGAGATGCAGTGGAAATTCCCCGCCACCACTGGTTCCTTCTTTGTGGGAGCAAATTCTTCTAAAATCCATCTAATTCCTTTGCTGATTGACAGATGTTCCCCACTTCCTCTGGAGCCAGAAGTAAATGCCTTCTGGCACCCAACATCTCTTAACTTGCTCTACCAACATCGCTATTGTCATCATCATCACTGCCGTAACTACGGCAACTTCCGTTATTTGGCTTTTCCTGTGTTCTAAACACTGTACAAAGCACTTTGTAGACAGAAGCTCATTCATTGCTCACAAGGCCTTGTGGATTGAGATGATTGCCCCTAGGGTGTGGAGGATGCTGGGGCGCAGGGAGATGACGCGAGCCGCACGAGGTCACATAGCAAGCAAGTGGCAGACCAGAGCTTTTCCCAAGATGGTGTCCGGAGCCAACACATTAGGATTCTGCACCACCTGCCGCTGCCTCCTTCTTGGACTGTGCTTCTCCTGAGGCAACATGTGTGAGATTCAACCTGAAACGGAAAGTCTGCTTTTCCACAAGCACCTCCAACAAGATTGCTTCCTGGAGTTAGCCCACACCCGCCCCCATCTAGTCCCGGGCTTCTCTTGGACCCCTTCTTAGAGGGAAAGACTCTGTTCTTTACTAGTTCCTGCATAGGTTCCGGGGTGCGAGTGGATGGAGAGAGAGTCCAGCTAGAGTGGGCCTTTGTGTTCAGCGATTCCCTACAACTACCCCAGCCTTGGTCTGAGATGCTGCATCTCCTCTGAGGACCTGACATACTGCTCTTCCTTCTCTAGGTCTAAGGGGCTTAGAGTGTCTGGGGAAGGTTGGGATTGAGTCTCCATCAACAGCCCCTCTGGAGGAGGGCTTAAGGGAGAAGTTTGAGAGGACAGGGCAAGGGAGGTTCCTCCAGGCCAGGCTGCCCCATAGGACATGTGACTTTGCTCAGCTAGAGGCAGCTAGTTAGAAGAGGGCTGGCTGGGACCGAGAGAATGCAGCTCTGTGTGTCTCAGGCAGACAGTTAGTTCTCCTGGGAGTCCAGCTACCCTGCCTGTCCTTGGGGGTGTTCTGCTACAGACTCCCACACTGAAGAGAGGCTGTTCCTTGTAGGGCACAGTGCTGGGACCTGGACTCTTGAGAGGCACCGGTTATGCTGGGAGCCTGGGTCCAGTCATGTGTTGTGTCTGGATGCCGCTGTTATCCTAAGGGGAGGGTCCGTGGAGCAGTGCTGACTTTTTATAACTGTGGGAATCTGCAGGGAGGACGAAAGGCTCGCCGGGGCCTGAGAGCGCAGCTATATTCGGTCAGCTGGCGAGGCCCCAGCCACAGCCTCTAGAGGTCAAGCAGGCCAAGCCAGCCTGGGCATGGGGCCAGGGAAAGAGGTAGGGTAGGCAAGGGAAATTGCTGGAAGCCTGCCCAGTCGTGCCGTCACACGCAGGTGGAATCTGGGTACAGGTGGGTCTTGTCTACCCACTGCTGCTTTGACCCAGATTTGGCACCTGTGGGCTGGAATGCGGGATGTAGAGCCGTCCTTTTCGGGTGGGTCCACAGCACCATTCCTCCATGCCCACCATTCACAGGCCTTGTTTGTCAGCAATGGCATCTACATCAGTAGACTTGCTGAACCTGTTTGTTCTCTGGGTGACCAGTTCTGCTCACCCTCTGGGCTTTCCAGTGGCGATGGGGGGGGGGGCCCCGGGGGAGTCCAGCTGGGGCAGAGTCTGCGTTCATCAGAAATCTGGGAGACAGGATGTAGGTCTGAGGGTTGAGTTGAGACACTAGGAACACTTGGGGGAAGGACATGGTTCTGTGTGACACTCTGGGTTAGGGTAGAAGCCTCCCTCTGCTTTACTCTATGAACTGCATGCACACAAGTGTGTTTTCCTGTGTATACGTGTGTATGTGTGTGTGTGTGTGCGCACGCGTGTGCATGTGCGCCCATGCATGAGAGCACCTTACTTCTAGCATCACATCTAACTCTCCATGGATAACTATTTCAGCAAAGGATTGGAGCCTCCATCTGTTGGACCAATTATATACTGCCCTTGTACAGGCTAAAGCTCTCAGAACTTCACCACGTGACTCTCAAGGATCTCCTAGAATCAACAGCCAGGCCCGGGGCTGGGAGGGCCCAGATGAACAGGGAGGTGACACCTCACCTCTCTTTTTATTTGCTTGGTGTTGGTTGAAGATGCGCCAGGAGGAGAAGACCAGCTACATGGTGGTACAGACAAGTGAGGAGGGACTGGCCACTGGTGGTGAGCTTCCGGGACCACTCATGATGCTGGCCCAGAACTGCGCCGTCATGCACAACCTGCTGGGTCCTGCCTGCATTTTTCTTCGGAAGGGTTTTGCTGAGAACAGACAGCCTGTACGTAAGTTGGCCAGGTGCAGCTGGCCGAACTTGGCTTCATAGGGCATGAGGAGATGCTGGGAAGAAAGGGGTTCTGTACGCAGCACTCCCTATCCTCAAACCCCCAACTTAAGAAACTGTTTCTTGGTTCCAAAGTGAGTCTGCATCAACCAACAAGAAATAATTAAAGCAGGGGCTGGAAGGATGGCTTAATGGTTAAGAGCACTGGCTGTTCTTCCAAAGGACCCAAGTGTGGTTCCCAGCACTCACTAGGTGGCTAACAACCATCTGTGTCTCCAGTCCCAGGGGAATCTATTGCCCTTTTTTGACCTCCATGAGCATCAGCCATGTACACTGTACACATATACTCATGAATGCAAACCACTCAGATGAAAAAAAAATAATGCTAATAAAAGATTTTTAAACAAAATAATAAAAGCAGAGACTGGGGAGATGGTATTTGGGAAAGGGCCTGAGCTTAGTCCCCATCACTCACTAAAGCTGGACATGGTGATGGGTGGTTCTTGCATAAGGTGCTGGGGGGATCAGAGACAGGAAGAGCCCTGGGTTCACTCGCCAGCCTAAAACCAGTGAACCTCAGGACCCAGTAAGGGACCTTGTCTCAAAACATAAGGTGGATTGAGCCGGAGATGGGCTGGCGAGATGCCTAAGTGGGACTGCTCCTTCAGGAGACCTGAGTTCAGTTCCCAGCACTCATGCCAGGCAGGTCACAAGTAACTCTAACCCAGATCCACAGAGAGCTGATGCCTTCTGGCCTCCAAGGGTATCTGCACTCACGTGTGTACACACAACACGTAAAAACCGGTGGAAGGAGCCTATGAAACAGCATTCAAGGTTGACCCCTGTTTTGCCACATGCACACTCCTACATATGCAAGCACACATACCCCTGCACACACACACCCTATACGTATGTCCCTGTACACGTCCCTCTACATACCCCCGCACACATACACTTACACATACACCCTTGCACACACACCCACACACCCACCTGCACACAACACTGCTACAATACTGCCAGCATACACACCTGCACAGACACCCCTGCACACATACATACCTACACACACGCCTACACACACACACCCTTACACACCTGCATACATACCTCACACACATAGATAAATAAATCAGCATATACAATTCTTTGGGAGCCTTACAGAGTGCCCACGGTGTGCTGAGGAAAGCAGGACTCTGCTAAGTGTCTTTGCAAATCGCCTCCTAAAAGCCCCAGCTCCCAGAGACAGGTACTTCTATCGTCCGCATTTCACATGTGGGGAAACTGAGTCGGATGCAGTAGCACACTTGAGGTCACACTAGCAGTGTCAGAGGTAGATCCAAACACAGATATCCCGACTCTACAGATTCTGTGCTCTTACCAGCAATTCTGTGTACTCAAATGCTCTCCTGTTAGTCTACCCTGTGATATCCAGTGAGCAGCCCTGATCAGATGTGGCTAAAGGCCTCTAGGGATGTAGCTAATGAACAGAATTATTAATTTTTATTTTATTTTCATTAAAAGCCATTGTTTGCTGAGGATTGAGCTCAGGGTCTTGTATATGCTAAGCATATGTTCTATCCTGAACTCTTCCTCAGCCCTCCAACTCAAACGTAAGTAGCGGTGTGTGGTCAGTGGCCGCTGTACTGAATAGCCTCCTGCAGGTCTGAGTTGCCACAGGGAAGTGGGTAATGAGAATGTTATGGATACAAACATTTGTAGATTGCATTGATTAAATTTCACGTGCTGAATACTTGCCTTGAGGAACGCACATAAAGGCCTGTGAGGTAAGTACTGTTACAGAGCCATGTTACAACTGGGGAGGCTGGCTTAGAGAATGGAGTGACCCTCAGCTAGGAGGCAGCAGCTAAGAGCTTCGCACCTGGGCCAGTCTGACTTTAGGTTCTGGGGGCTTCTCTCTAACTGCACAACCTGTATGTTCCCAATGCTTCCTGCCTGCCCCCCCCTGCAGGATTGGTGCATATTTCAGTGTGTAACCCTATACACACATGTTCCTCCACTGCCCTGCATGGGGTTGGGGCCGTTGGGTGAGCCTGGGAACAGCCACCAGGGCTGCTGCTGCTGCAGGCTCACTGTGAGGAAGTGCCTTGCTTTGCCTCTCCTTGGAAGCTGGGAGCAGAGTGGAAGAGTCTGCCGCGTGCACCTCCTCCCCCAGACCTGCAGCACTGGCCCTGGAACAGCAGCAAGCTGCTTGGGGTCTGGGGTGGGAAGTGAGCTCTATCTAAGCAGCTTGTCCCACTGAGTCTACCTTGCATACTGTGTACACATGCATATAGTCAGCTCCCCATTTCCTGGGGTCCCCGCATTTGGGGATTCAAGAACAATAGATCAAGAAATAATTTTATTTATTTATCTTCGAGACAGGGTCTCTCTGCATAACCCTGGGCTTTCCCTGTCTTTACTCTGTGGACCAGGCTGGCCTCGAACTCAGAGATCCACCTGCCTCTGCCTCCCAAGTGCTAGCCTGGCAAGAAATAATATTTTTAAAATTGGCATCTGAGGCTGGTGAGATGGCTAGCAGGTAAAGGTGCTGCCAAGACAGAAGACCTGAGTTCAATCCTCAGAACTCACAGGGTCGAAGGCAAGAATCAACTGCTGTAAGTTTTCTTCTGACCTACACACACATGCACACATATACACATGCACACACATACACACAGCATGCACACACATATGCACACACATACACACACACGTACACACATACACAGATGCACACACATACATACATACATACACAGACATACATGCACATGTGCACGCACACATGCACACACAAGCGCACACATATACACACACATGCGCACATACACACCCACAAATGTTAAAAAAAAACTTTTATCTAGAACTGGAGAAATTGCTCAGCAGTTACAAGCACTGACTGTTCTTGCAGAGGTTCTAAATTCAGTTCCCAAAATCACCTGAGGCTCACGACTGACTGCAACTCCAGATTTGGGGGATCTGATGTCCTCTTCTGGCCTCTTAGGGCACCAGCCTGCCGGGGGACCACATGCACACATGCGGGAAAAACACTCATATACATCAAATAAAAATAAATCTTTCAAAAATTTTTAAGTAAAAGATAAAACCTTGTACTTGCACTGAAAACACATGGATTTTTTTGTCTTCATTTTTTAAACAATACAACATAGCAACTATTTGCATAGCATTTGCATCATATAAATAGAATAAGTCATCTCAAGATGATTTGAAGTATGCCAGAGGAGGTATGTAAATTATATGCAAATTGTGTGCCATTTTATGTAAAGGACTTGAGCATCTTTGGATTTTGGCATGCCTGGGGTTTCTGGAAATCAATCCCCCACTGATAGTAAGAGATGACTATACTCACTCATTTTCACTTACTCGTGGTACAATACATGGAAATACATCTTTCTGGCCACCCTAGAATGTCCAGGAACATATACTTCGGTCTGGGAGCAGGAGTGACCCTTATGCCACATACACTCTGCCAGCCATTAAGGGAAAAGCCTCGCAGTACTGTCGATTGGACAACACTCCCTTCAAGTAACTCTTTCCCCTCAGCTAGAAATGCCCTCTGGGAGGACCTGGGGAATCTATAGCTTGCTCATTCCAAACTCACACACACTTTGAACAACAGTACAACCGTTCCCTTTGGACAGGATCATCAGACTGGGTGCCTGTATCCGGGAGCCATCGTCTCTGGGCGCCACTGTCTCTGCCCTCATTGGCCCCACTGACCGAAACAGCCGTTGTGCACAGCTGAGCTGCCTCATGCTCACCACAGCATTCCTATGCATCTGTGTTAGTGATCTGGGTCCCTGTTCTGCTGGGAGCCTCCTTAGGGTCACAGACCTGCCTCGTACTCTTCTCATCCGAAGGCAGAGAGCTGGAACATGGGTACCCATACGTGTTCTGTACCTGTCTGTCTCCTTCCCCGGCAGACCTGGGGTGATGAATGCCACCATCAGGACCCTTCCCCATGTCTCCCTAAATTTGCTTTTTGGAGATTTCTCTGGTACCAGTTTTAATGCCAAGTTTCTGTGGTTCCCTATGCAGATACGGGCTCTGCTGGAGGCTGCAGATGCTTGCTTTGGACACTGGCAGTCCTGGGTCCTATGCTGTGTCCTGTACTGGGCAGGGTATAGGCATGTGGTCACACTGGGGAAAGGTGGGGACACAGCTTCAATTCTTCCTCACGTAACCTAAATCTTCTATTCTCTTTCTGGGGCTACCTGTGTGGTCCCTGCCTGCTCTCCTCCTGTGGTCCCCTATCTCCCGCTGTCCTGCTCACTCCTGATGCCTGGCTCCTCCTGGTGTCCTTGGGTGGTGACTTCCCCTGGCCCTGTTTTAATTACAGGTTTCCGTCTCTGGACCAGCTTTGTTCCCAACTCATTCTTGTGACTGGAAAAGGGTGCAGCGCTTTGGTGGCCCAGTTTCTAGGGGGACTGTTGGGTTTGGGACTCCTCCGTCAATACTCCTCCATGACTCTAAGACTTGGGGGCTGCTTCTTTCCCCATCAAAGTCCTGAAAGACCTCTGCTCAGTTCCCATCCCTTCCCACCTAGAGCCTGCTGCCACTTGGATGGCCCCCATTGGATGGGCATCTTGTGAGTTCTAGGTCCCTTGCTGCTGCTAATGTGACATGTTCTCTTGTTTCAGGACAGATCATTACGGCCAGAGGAGATCGAAGGTAAAGTCAGGCCCTCGGGGAAAAGGGCTGTTCATCTCCACTGGAAGGTGGGGTGGGTTTTGTTTTCGTTTTCTTCTTTCTTTCTTTTCTTTTCTCTTTTTCTTTCTTTCTTTCTTTCTTTCTTTCTTTCTTTCTTTCTTCTTCTTCTTCTTCTTCTTTTTTTTTTTTTTTTTGAGACAGGGTTTCTCTGTGTAGTCCTGGCTGTCCTGGAACTCACTCTGTAGACTAGGCTGGCCTTGAACTCACAGAGATTTGCCTGCCTCTGCCTCCCGAGTGTTGGAACTAAAGGCATGTGCCACCACCACCCGGCTGGTTTGTATTTTTTGAGACAGCGTTCCTCTAGCTAGTCCTGGCTGTCTTGCAGCTCACTATGTAGAATAGGCCAGCCTTGAACTCACACCTCTAGGTGTTGGTGGGAAGAGTCCCGGGCACAAAGCAGGGCACACTGGGCAAACAAGAGCCCTAGAGGACTCCAGGGTCTACCTCTGTGAGCTGGCCCTGGGCTGTCTGTACTTGAGACGTCTCGGGGTCCTCCTCCAACCACATCTGCCCCTGCTCGTTTCCCCAGAGCTTCGAGAGGCCTTCCGAGAATTCGACAAGGACAAGGACGGCTACATCAACTGCCGGGACCTGGGGAACTGCATGCGCACCATGGGCTACATGCCCACGGAGATGGAACTCATTGAGCTCTCCCAGCAGATCAACATGAACCGTGAGTCCCCGTCCTCAGGTCACACAGGCCTGGCACCAAGTTCTGGATCCAGCTCTGGGGCCCCGTTCCTCGGAACCTCAGTTTCCTCCCATGTAAAGCAGGCTTGTAATGAGACAGTAGAAGGAAGTTAGGGGATAGGTGAGTAACAGCCTAAAACCTGGCTCACAGTAGGAAGTCAGAGGGTGCTGTTAGCATTATGAGTTCCTTTCTCTTTATGTGGGCTACAGAGCAAGTTCCAGGACAGGCTTCAAAGCTACACAGGAAAACCCTGTCTTGAGGGTTGGAGAGATGGCTCAGTGGTTAAGAGCATCGCCTGCTCTTCCAAAGGTCCTGAGTTCAATTCCCAGCAACCACATGGTGGCTCACAACCATCTGTAATGGGGTCTGGTGCCCTCTTCTGGCCTGTAGACAGAATATTGTATACATAATAAATAAATAAACATTTAAAAAAAAAAGAAGAAAGAAAACCCTGTTTTGAAAAAAAAAAAAGTTGATGTAGAATACAGACACTGGGGACAGGGAATGGCCCCGTTGGTGGAGTGATTTGTCTAGCGTACTCAAAGCCCTGGTTTGGTCCTCAGGAATGCCTACTATTTGGCTAGAGTGATTGACCAGCAAGCCCTAGGGATCCTTCTGTCTCCACCTCCCTGGTGCTGAGAGCACAGGTGCAGACTGCCTCGGTCAGCTCTGGGGAGATGGAGAGAGAGGGTCAGCTCTCGATGACGGCTGGAGAGATGGTCCAGCAGTCATGGACACCGGCTGTTCCTCTGGAGAACTCAAGTTTGATTCCTAGAACCCACGTGGTGGCTTTATCACTGTAGCTCCAGAAGCCTCTGAGTCCTTCTTCTGGCTCTGTGGGCACCAGGCATGCACATGGAGTACAGACATGCAGGCAGGTGAAAAACCCATACACATAAAATAAAGTAATAAATCTTTTTTTAAAATGTTTAAAAAGAAGTTCAAATTCAGCTACAGAGCAAGTTTGAGGCCAGCCTGGGATACATATGACTCTGTCTTGATGAAGATGATGGTGATGGTGATGGTGATGATGATGTCTGGGGAGAAAGCCAAGAGAGGCAGTATGTACTTATAATTCCAGTGCTGGAGAGGTGGAGACAGCTGGGGCTTGCCGGCCTAGTACTGTACCTGAATCAGCGAGCCACGAGTTAGTGAGAAACCCTGCTTCAAAAGTAACGAACATGCTTGACACTGACCTCTGTCCTTTACAGATGGACATACACCTGCATACTCTAGACACATGTAAACATTCAAGGCCTTCACCCCTCCAGCCCCGCGTTCCCTGTGCTGTGCTCAGTCCCTGTTCAAAGTTGTAGTCAGCAAGTAGGTGCCCAGTCTCCTTCCACCTCCTGAGAGTCACTTGGGAGTTGAATTTGTATTTGCACAGCTAAAGTAAGGCTTGGGGCACGTGGAGCAGGTACCCGTAAATTTTGTCTTCTTTTACCTTCCTCCGAAAGCATCTTCTCCGTCTCTGAAGTTCTTCACCCAGATCCACGACCCAGTGCTTCTTCCTCCTGTCCCTGCTTCCTTTGTGTCCACCTTGTGGCTGCTCCTTTCCCACTCCCTGGCCACTCCTCGAGTCATTCTGTGTCAAGCCACCTGTCTGTGTTCTGTCCTCCTTGCCTTGGTCACAACCTGGGCCTGGAGATGGGGGCGATCACAGAGGTTCCCTAGAGGGCAGTGGGTAGGTAGAGGATGACCCACGCTATTCTCTTTGCTCCAGTGGGCGGCCATGTGGACTTCGATGACTTTGTGGAACTAATGGGTCCTAAACTCCTGGCAGAGACAGCAGATATGATCGGTGTAAAGGAACTGAGAGATGCCTTTCGGGAGGTGAGTGACGGCTGCTGACAGGCAGGGGTGGGCAGGCCGAGTCCCAGTCTCAGAATGACTTTGAAGGGTTCTGAATCCCTGGGCCCCAGATCACGGGAGAGAACTTGGTTAGAAAAGGAACCCTGGTCTACGGGACACTGCTCAGCCTTGAGGTCACTGCCCATCAGTGCAGTCTCTGTTCCTCCTTCACTCTCCAGTTCGACACCAATGGTGATGGGGAGATAAGCACCAGTGAGCTGCGAGAGGCCATGAGGAAGCTGCTGGGTCATCAGGTGGGACACCGAGACATTGAGGAGATTATCCGCGATGTGGACCTCAATGGAGATGGACGAGTGGACTTTGAAGGTAGCGGGGTCTGGAAACGGCTGAGTCTGTGGGTGCACCCTGCCCTTCCTCCCTGCATTTCTTTTATCTTACCTGTGTCTTACCTGTGTATACACCGATCCACCTCCCATCCCCCTCCTGCATCCATCTAGCTGCCCATCTTTCGCACCTCTCACTCGCTCGTCTCTCCATCTGTCCAGATGCCTGGTCAGTTCTTCATCATCTCTAAAGCCATCCATACAACCATTGGCCCAGGCATTTACCCATCTCTTCATTCTGCTCTCCATCTGCCCTCGCATCCATCTCAGTATCTTTGTCCCCATCCACACCTCCGTCTTCCCGCACCTCCGTGCACCCACTCCTCAGTCCGCCCACACCTCTGTCTGCCCCCACCTCCGTCTGCCTGCACCTCCGTGCACCCACTCCTCAGTCCGCCCGCACTCCGTCCGTCCGTTCACACCTCCGTCCGCCCACTCCTCCGTCCATCTGCCCGCACCTCAGTCTACCCACTCCTCCGTCCGCCCACACCTCAGGCCGCACCTCCGTCTGCCCACATCTCCATCCGCCCACTCCTCCGACTATCTGCCGGCACCTGCACCTCCGTCTACCCACACCTCTGTCCGCCCACTCTGTCTGCCCGCACCTCCGTCTTCCCACTCCTCCGTCCGCCCGCACCTTCGTCCGCCCGCACCTCCGTCTGCCCGCTCCTCCGTCCGCCCGCTCCTCCGTCCGCCCACACCTCCGTCCGCCCGCACCTCCGTCCGCCCGCTCCTCCGTCGCCCACGCCACACCTCCGTCTTCCCACTCCTCCGTCCGCCCACTCCTCCGTCGGCCACGCCACACCTCTGTCTACCCACACCTCCGTCCGCCCACTCCTCCGTCTGCCTGCACCACCGTCCGCCAGCACCTCTGTGCTCTGTTCCTATGATCATACTCTTCCTTCCAGCTGTCTGTACTTCTACCTGTATTTCCATTGAGCTCTCCGTTCAGTCATTTCCCCATCGATTTTATATCCATCTGTTTCTACATTTATCCGTCCTTGTGTCTGTCCACCCATCTGTCTGTCTGTTCACTCATCATCCTGTCTTCTGAGGACCATACTCTTCGGCCTGTCCTTAGCCTCTGCCACCTGACCACAGGTCACTATCCCAGCCACAGTATCGACCATTCCTTCACTCTGAAATACGCGAGATACGTTAGCCTGTGAGGCCCTCCTGTGAATGTGCTGTTTTTTGTGCCAGATGCCTTTCATTTTATTTTCCACTTAGGCTAAATTGTTTTAATTGTTGTCCACCCATCCACCCATCCATCTATCCACCCATCCGTCTAGAAAATATGTGTGTCGTTCCATAGCCTGAGTGTGGAGGTCAGAGGATAACTTGTAGGGATTCTTTTTTTTTTTTTTTTTTTCCCTTCCATGAAGGGATCCCATGAAGATCAAACTCGGGTCTTCAGGCTTGGCAGCAAGTGCCCTTACCTCCTAAGTCATCTTGCCCACCCTTGAGTGAATTTCTGTTTATTTTCCAAGACCCAGTAGTAAGAGTCCTTCCCAGAACTCCTCTTCTGTCTTCTGCAGACTGAGCCTCTTCTTTTCCAGCCCTTGTAGCACTTCACAGAGCTGCCTCACAAAGATGCAGCGTGGAGGTGGAGGAGGAGCAGCCTCGAAGCCAGGGCAATACGGACGGACCGACGGTGGTAGAGTTCTGTACTGGCTCCTAACTGCCACTGTCTCCACCCATTCCTGTCTCCCTCCCAGAGTTCGTCCGGATGATGTCCCGCTGAGGCCTCCAGGGCTTCTCCAGGACTGCCAACTCCCACTTGCGGGGAAAAGAGCCGAGCTCGCCTTGCTCACTCCGCAGTAGATGCCCAGAGCCCAGGATGTACTGGCGGATGGGGCCTGCCTGCACCCCGGGGAGGTGCCCACCCCGGATCCCCACCCCTCCGCACTGTGAAAGACTCATAACTCCTGCAACTGGAAAGGGGCGCCCACCAGCGAGGAGGCCACAGTGCCAAGCCGCTAGAGGACATGCAAGGCGCCAAGTGCCATGTGCCCAGTCGCTGCTGGCTGGGTGGGCCAGGGAGCCCGCCAGCAGACCCCACACAGCATGTCTGCCCCAGGGCAGAGCCTTTCAGCGCCCTCCTGAGCTCTATGCCCGTCCCAGCTCGCCTAGCCCTTTGATCTCAGAACCAATAAAAAACGAGAATGTCAGCCAAGGTGTTCTTTGCTTTGGGCCCAGTTAGAAGATATTCACCTTTCCCCAGAACCTCCTGCACGCCCCGTATTGGATGGAATTTCTTGCCTGCCACATACATTGACTGAGTAACCATTTTGTACCCAGCAATTTCCAATCACATATAATACATAGGCCAGAATGTGGCATTTTTTTTGAGGCAAGGTTTCTTTATTTAATAGCCCTGGGTGTCCTGGAACTCTAGACCAGGCCTCAAACTCACAGAGATTCGCCTGGCCTGCTCTAGGGAGGTGAGAACTCCTTAGGAAGTGATGTCAAGGGCTTTGCCCTGGAGGAAATCCAGAGTGTGCACGAGAAGGACAGCAGCTGTGTAGCGATCAGGCCTTGGGCTTGTTTACTGTGTGGTGCTGGGTAGCTGTGCGCTCTCTTCGCACCTGTTTCCTCAAGTGTAATGTGAGGATGGGAAAGAGCAAGGCTAGTGCCCACTAGGGGCTTGGCTCGTGGTGTATCTTAGGGACTGTCATTTGCCGACTGCCATGGAATTGTGGCACCTGGAAGTGTGGCACACTGAGTCGGTTTCCACAGCTGATGGAGATCTTTGTGAGGAGCTGTCTAGAGCCTCCAGCAGGCTTGGCGCACACTTGGGTGGCTGTATGGGATGGCTAGCGTCATCCTCCATACCTTTGTTTCCCCCCCTTCAGCACGCTAAAGAATCATCCCAAGCAGGGGTAGCGGGTGGTGCAGGCCTTTAATCCCAGCACTCTGCAGGCAGAGGCAGATGGATCTCTGTGAGTTTGAGGCCAGCCTGGCCTACAGAGTGAGTTCTAGGACACCCAGAACAATACAAAGAAATTCTGTCTTGAAAAAAAAATCACATTTTTAAAAATTATTAATTTATTTATTGTGTGTATGGGGGGGGGTATGTGTATGAAGGTCAGAGGAGACTTTTGGGAGTCAGTTCTCTTCTACCATGTGGTTCCTGGTCCTCAAACTCCAGCTGTTGGGCTTGGCAGAAGAGCTTTTACCCACCGAGCCTTCTCACTGGCCTACCTGAAGGATTCACTAGGTCACAGATATGGACCCACCTCTGATTCTGATGCCATGTTTGCGGTGAGGTCCATGATTTTCCATCCTTAACAAGACCTCAGAAGATTCTGATGCTTATGGCCTGTGGCCCACAGAACTCCATGGTAAGTTCCAGGTACACGTGCGCTGGTGTGTTTCCAGGCATCTGAGGCAGGCAGTGAGAGCATGGGGGTAGATGGAGCATTCTGTGCCCCCTGGTGTCACAGCAGAGGGAGGATACTTGTTCTCAGACCTGGCAGGAAATGTGGGAAAGGCCTGTGGGCCCCAGCCAGATGCCTCGGTAATCCACATGTCCCAGAGGCCAGCAGGGCTGAGAGCTCTAAATTCTAATAATCCAATTCTGAGACTAAGCCCTTGGCTCTGTGCCCCACTAGACAGGCCTACAGCCCTGCTTTTCCTATCCTGGCTTAGCTCTGCTCAGAGACTCCAGATCTGTGCTTTTCAGAAAGCTGGTAGCTCAATTAGAAGAGAAAGGGCCTCTGTAGATAGCTCTGTCAGCTGGCGGGGGAGCCCTCCAGAAACCCTCCCAGGAGAGAGTGGAACAAACCTTAAGCTAGGGTCCCTCCATACCTCTGAAAACCATAGACAACAGCAGCTGTGATAAAGGAGCTTGCGGAAGTAGTCAGGCCCCAGCAGAAAGGCCTGCGCATACTCAGACACGGGGCAGGACTCCTGTCTCCTCTATGCCTGGGGCTCCTGCCTTACATCTTAGCTTCTCCCACCCATAGGACCTTTAAAGATTAGGGTTCCATGACTTCTAGAACCAAGATGAATTTCTCCAGACAAGGCCTCGGAGCACTCCCTCCCCGTGGGAGCTCCAAGCGTCACCTCAGCATGAACCTATAATCCGAGCACTCAGGAAATGGGGCTGGGAGGATTGTGAAATGGAGGCCAGCCTGAGGAATCACACCCATATACACCCCCACCCTTGCCGCCACCACCACCACCACACACTCTAAACAAATAACCAAAATGTAATTTCAAAATTAAAAAAGAAGCTGCTAGGGTGTGGCTTAGTGGTTAGAGCGCTCCCTTGCCATTCACAGAGGCCACAGGTTCAGGAATTGCTTCCCCGCCCCCGGTTCATCAAAGACAAAAAAGGGCACTTGCCACAGAGCCTGGTGACTTAAATTCAATCCCTGAGACCCACACAGTGGCAGGAAGGAATTGATTCCTGAAAGATCTCTGACCATCCCGTGTGTATGAGATGGCACCCCCTCAAATAAATAAATGCTTAAACAAACAACAAAAAAATACACCCCAAAAAACAAGCAAAAAGTATAAAATAAAATAAAGGGCATAAGTTAAAAATATAGTAAAAATGAAGATGAACTGGGAGTGCTGGTGCACGCCTTTAATCCCAGCATTTGGGAACAGAGGCAGGAGGATCTCTGTGAGTATGAGGCCAGCCTGGTCTACAGAGTGAGTTGCAGGACCACTAAGGCTACACTGAGAAACCCTGTCTCGAAATTCCCCCTCAAAAATCTTGTTTTTATGCATATGAATGTTTGCCTGCATGTATGCATGTCTGTGTAGTACGTGCATGCTGGGTACCATCAGAGGCCAGAAGAGGGCATGGCATCCCCTGGGACTGGAGTTATAGAGGGTTACGAGCCACCACGTGACTGCTGGGAACCAAATCCTGGTACTCTTCTAGAGCAGTAAGCACTTTTAACCTCTCTCCAGCCCCAATTTTTAAATTTTTAAAATCATATGTATGTGTGTACATGGGGACGGGGTGGGGATGTCCATGCAAGCGTAAGTGCTGTGCCCACATGGTCCAGAAGAGGGCATCAGACTCCCTGGTGTTAGAGTTACAGTAGGTTATGTGCTGATTACCTGTCTGGGTGCTGTCCACTGCCTGCCCACCTCTCCAGCCCCAGGGGAATTAACATCTGCACAGGAACCTCCTGTTGACGGCAACAAGACAATCAACTCGAATCTGGGATCTACCTTGATTATCTGGAAGTGGCTGCCCATGCCTTGTGGTCCTGAAGGTGGCCCTGGTCCTGCTGTGCCTGGCAGGTTCAGATCGCAGACCTACACTGTCACCTGCTCCTGCTTTCAGCTGACAGAGCTGAGCACAGAGTTCTGAGTTTTGGTTGAAATGTAAAATGCTCCCCACAGGATACAAAGTTTTGTCTCGGTCCTGCCTGGAGGCTCTACCTCTGAAAGTGGTGGAAACTCTGGGAACAATAAGGGGGAGCATAACCCATTCTGTAGTCTCTGCCTCTTGCTTCCAGCACATGGTGAGGAAGCTTGTCAACAATATGTTCCTTATACCATGATCTTTTCCCGAAGTTTGTGGGGCTATGCAACCATGGGCTGAAGCCTCTGAAGCCACAAGTCAGGCTAAACCTTTCTTCTTGGAGTTATCCTGTCTGGCATTGTGGTTACAACTATGCCAAAGGAACTAACATGTCCTTCTTTAGCCTCAGTCTCGTTATCAGCAATACCTAACCAGTAGCTGGTTACTGCTGTGGGATAATGGTCTTGTACACTGTAAAGATTTGTCACTCATATTAGTTTAATAAAATGCTGATTGGCCAATAGCCAGGCAGGAAGTATAAGTGGGGCAACCAGACTAGGAAAATTCTGGGAAGAGGAAAGGCAGAGACACAGTCACAACCCAGACACAGAGGAAGAAAGATGAAAATGCCTTGCTGAGAAAAGTACCAAGCCACATGGCTAAACATACATAAGAATTATGAGTTAACTTATGTTATAAGAGCTAGTTAGTAATAAGCCTGAGCAATAGGTCAACCAGTTTATAATTAATACAAGCCTTTGTGTGTTTATTTGGAACTGAATCTACAGATTACAAGGAAATAGTTCCTTTAGGGCCTGGAGAGATGACTCCACAGCTAAGAGCATTTATTGCTCTTATAGAGGGCCCAGGTTCAGTTCCTAGCACCCACATATGGGCCCACAACTGTCTGTAACTCTAGTTCCAGGGGATCCAACACGCTCTTCTGACTTCTGATGCCACCAGGCATGCATAATGCAACTACGCTTATACACATGAAAGAAAGAGAGAGAAAAAAGAAAGGAAGAAAGGGAGAGGAAGAACGAAGAAAAAAGGAGCCCCTTTAATCCCAGAACTAGGGAGGCTGAAGCACCCAGATCTCTGTGAGTTCCTGGCTACATAGTGAGGCCCTGTCTCAAAAAGGAAAAGAAAATGCCCATGCACAGTGCTTAGTGTAGGGTGTGACTCAACTCCTTCACACATACAGGTAGCTCTCTCTCCTGGAATTTTCTCTGAGCTAGGCTTAAAGGTCTTCCTCCGTCTTGACTTGGAGGTACTGGACTGATGGCGCAGCGTTAACCTCTCCTAGCTGGAGTGTCACATGACACCTTAGACGCACACCAGAAAGCAAAGCATAATGATGAACTCCTGGGCTCCAGCACTCGGAGGATCATGGTTCCATGTCAGCCTGGGCTGCACAGCAAGACTGTTCCAATATACAAAGTGAAATAAATAAGATTGCCTCAGTGTGCACGATGTAACTCTGTAGGGTGTTTACTTAGCATTCACAGAGTCTTGGGCTCGATTCCCAGGATTCTGGAAACAGGCATGGTAGAGTATGTTTGAATTGCAGCACATCAGAGGTAGGAGCGGGAGTTCGGAGTCATCCTCAGCTACAAGACAAGTGGAGTTCTGTCTGCGATACATCCTGGGGGCTCCTTTTTTCCTTCCTTCCTTCCTTCCTTTTGGAGATAAGGCTTCTCTTTGTAACAGTCTTAGCTGTTCTGGAACTTGCTTCTGTGAACCAGGCTGACCTCAAACTCATAGAGATCCGCCTGCTTCTGCCTCCCGAGTACTGGGATTAAAGGTGTGCGCCACCACTGCTCAGCCGGGACTCTTTCTTAAAAAAGAAAAAAGGAAGGAAAATGTCCTTGCTATTCCTAACTCAATACATTTTGTTACTTAACACAGTTAAAAAAGCAGTTATCTGAAGTTTTGCAGTCTGGTTAAAAATGATTAACTTCTCAGATGAGAACCGGGCACAGTGGAAAGTGACTTGCCCAAGGCCACCTAGACGCTTGCTTTTTCTGTCCTCCAGCTCTTTCTGTGAGTCATATCCTCCGCAGGGAAGCAAAGGCTTGCCAGTCCGGCCTCTTTCCCCTGAAGGTGGAGACACGGTCAAGTTTCCCACTGTTTGACTTTTCCACTGACTGGGGGCTGAGGTAGGTTCTCTGCCTCTATGGGTGGCTCTGATCCATGCTTAATCTGACCTCCAAGAGGCCCAAGGTGAAGAAACTTGACTTTGAAACCAGACCACCCACCCTGGCATCCGAGGACTGAATGGTCGACCAAGCAGCCAGCAATGTGGCCCCCACCCACCCTGTGTTTTCCTCTTGAACTTTTACTGTGAGCTTATCCTTAGGGGGAAAATATCCCATTAACTTAAAATAGGCCAGACTTAATTAATAGCACGCTTTGTTCTCAGGATTCTTATCTGTACCGGAAGCCACACCTCTTTTCGGTTTTGTGGGTCAAGGTGAAGTTGCCTCTGGGGGCTTCCAAACAGCTGTTCCGTCTTCCACTTTTGAACTCTGGTTCCCGTTGGCTTTTCCCTCCCTTGGGTGGAAGGGTTTTTCCCAACTCATTAGCCTGGCCTGTTCACCAGGGCCTTTTCCACTATTAGATTGCCAGCATGACATGTTATAATTATTTCTTCTTGTATGATTAATAGCTACTGTGTACTAAATACCATTTATGAGCCAGGCCCTCTGCTAAGGGTTTCTGAAAGCCCTGCATGTGGATATTCTAATTACATCTATGAGATGAGGAAGCTGGAACTCCCAGGTTCCACATAGCTACAAAAACTAGAAGTGGGCTTAGAATCCTGGTCTCTGTGCCCACAAACACTGAGACTTATTGACACTTAGCAATGCACCCAATTGACCGCAGAATGCTAGCTCGTGGGCTGGTGAGGCAGCTTAGGAGGTATGGGTGCTTGCTGCCATCGTCAGCTACATAGAAAGTTCAAGGCTGGCCTGGCTTCGGTGGGGGTTTGTCTAAAAATCAAACAGAAAGAGGGCAGCGAGCTAGCTCAGAGGGTAAAGCTGAGCCTTTGCTGCTGAGCCTGACAGCTGGCGCTCCACCTCTGGGATCTGACGCCTGGAAGTTGTCCTCTGACCTCCATGCCTACGCTGTGGCACACACCTCTGGGTGCCACCCACCACTAACAAATGAGTTTGGTTTTTCACAAAGCTCTTCTTATTGTCTTCATTTAAAATCTCTCTTTTATGTCTCACAGTCTTAGGAGATAGGAACAATTATTCCTTATCACAAAGGATGAAACCGGGGCACAACAAGGAGAATTCCATCGCAAGTAACACCCGGATGCCGGGCAGAGCTGTAATTGGCGTCAAATGTGGCCTCATAGGTAACTAGGGTCACAACATAAGTAGATCAGAAGCTAAGCATCGCTGTGTGCTTTTAGCCAAATTACTTTACCTTCCTCAACATTTTTAGTTTCTCATCCATAAAACTGGGGACGTTTCCTGTTTTTCAGTTTCTTGAGGTGAGTGTGAGATGCAGACGTGTGGGAACGGATGGCTGCTGAATCCTGCTGTCAGGGCTTTCTTGGCTACAGTCCTAACCTTGGCTTTGGATGGGTATATGATCTTTTTTAAGTTCCCTTTCGTGTTGCCTGCGTTTTTTCCATGAGAAGCATATTTTGTATCTCGGCAAGGTAGCACAGGCCCTGTTTATTAGAAGCTACTCAGACAGAAGGCTGGGTGGATGAGAAGGATGATCACAAATTTGAGGCCAGTGTAGACAACTTAGCAAGAGACAGACTCAAAGAAAATAACTGGGTGGCCGGAGAGATGGCTCAGCAGTTAAGAGGGTTAAGAGCACTGGCTGTTCTTCCAGAGGACCTGGGTTCAATTCCCAACAACCACATGGCAGTTCATAATTGTAACTCCAGTTCCAGGGGATCTGACATTCTCATACAAAGATCCGTGCAGGCAAAACACCAATGCACATAAACATTAAAAAAAAAAACAACCCTAACTGGTCTGGGGATGCACCTTAGGGGTCGTGCACACACATAGGCACACACACAGTACTCAGCAGGACCCTAACTTCCCCAGAGAGGATGCAGGGTGGAGAGAGAATTCTGCGAGTGGATGGTGTCATTTGCATTTTGGGTGAGCAGAGACTCAGAGAGAGAGGAACTGAACCCAGTTCTGTCTCACCCCTAAAGTGTAGTTCCTGTCACTTTCTGAAGGTCATGGTGCTGGGGAGCTTAAAGAGAAGTTTGACCTGGGGCTAGGGAAGCCCAAGCAGGGGTTTTAATACCTGTATGTCTATGCACTGTGGACATATGATAAAAATGAAGGTCAGAAAAAGACGACCCATCCCTTGGAACTGGGTTAGCAGGTATGTGGGTGCGGGGAATTGTACCCAGGTTCTCTGCAAGAGCAGCTAGTGCTCTCAACAGGTGAACCATGTCTCCAACCTCCTGCTTAATATTGAGACAAAAAGCCGGGCGGTGTGCACACCTTTAATCCCAGCACTCAGGAGGCAGAGGCAGGCCGATCTCTGAATTCGAGACCAGCCTAGTCTACAAAGTGAGTTCCAGGATAGGCTCCAAAGCTGCAGAGAAACCCTGTCTCGAAAAACCAAAACAAAAAAGTTGAGACAAGAACAGCTGGGAACACTCTGTGCCCCAAACTGGCATTTAATCTCATGGTAATCCTCCTGTTTCAACCTCCTTAGTACGAGTACTGGGGATACAGGAATGTGTCACCTGGTGTCTCCATGCCCTGAATTGTTTAAAATAAGTTCCATTTTTCCTTAACCACAATATCAAATTTAACCGGTTTCCTATATTTTGTCGGTAATGTCTGACAACCCTGGTAATAGGGACAGGGTAAGTATCTACGCAACAGATGATTAACTTCCTCCACTTGGCTTGTATCAGAAACTTGCGGTGAAAACTCAAGACTCTCTCAGCCCGTTTTCTCAGCGTAAAAACGGGAGTTTGGGCAGACACGCTAATGGAGAAGAGCGCTTGGGTGTGCAGGACGTGCCTGTACCAGGTAGGCCAGGTCACCAAACAGGGGTCACCACCCACGACCACTCGCACCAGCGGGGAGGAAGCCCCAACTCAACTCCTCAGGCCCACCAGACACCGTCGCCATGGAGACACAGGCAGCCTGGAGCCCCTCCCTTAAAGGCCACGCGTTTCCGCTGCGTTGGAGCATTCTGATTGGACGGCCCCGTGGACGCTACCACACACCACGCGCCTGCCAAGGGGTGAAGGCGGGACCTCATCCTCGTGGGACTCGTGTCCTGCCACCTGTACATGTGGCATCTCAGAGGAAGCCTGGCTCCTCTGCCTCCCACGGGGAAAAACGACTGCTTCTCCTGCTAGGTTCTGTGCTCTTGCCTTTCTGAGGAAAAAAAAAAAAAAAGAGGGTGATGGAAAAGACGGCAACGCCCCCTCCAGAGCCGATTCGGTCCTGAGATCTAGAGCGCCGGAAGTGCTGGCGACGTGTCAGTGCGCCCTTCTCTAAACCTTCCCCGCCCCAGGCCACCTTTCCTAGTCTGATGTGGGATTCCGGGGCGGCCTGGGCGCTGCACCCGCCACTTCCGCAGGGGACCGCCGCTTCAACCGAACTCCCTCCCTCTGCGCGCGCTCCTTCTCATGCCCGGTGGTTGGGCGGGAGCCTGGCTGTGGCCGCGCCCCCTTTCTGAACGCAGCCGCCAATAGGGGGGCCGCTCTCGTCGGGGTAGTGGGTAATTCATGAGGGCCGCACTCTAATTGGCTGGGGCGTCCAGGCTGAGGGCCGGGCGGCGGGGTAGGTTGTTCCTGAGGTGGGAGGCGGCACCCGAGGCAGAGGAGGAGGCCCGAGAGCGACATGTCCCGGGTTGCTGAGACAGAACGGTCCGTGGCGCTGTTTTACTGAGTCGGGGGTGGCCTGGCGGCCGGCCGAGGACGAGGGTCGGCAGGGGCTGCCCCCACAGTGGTGGCCGCCATGCTGGGGCCCCGGGCAGCTGGAGCAGCCGCTGTGGCGCTTCTCCGACTGCTGCTGCTGCTGCTCTTGCCGGAGCTCCGGGATCCGGGCTTCGGCGTGGTCGGAGCCGCTGGGGCCGGGCTGCCAGAGAGCGTCATTTGGGCAGTCAACGCGGGCGGCGAGGCGCATGTGGACGTGCACGGGATCCACTTCCGCAAGGACCCTCTGGAAGGCCGGGTGGGCCGAGGTGAGAGCCCCTCGGCTGAGCCGTGGGATCCGGGGCCTGCGAGCAGGGCGCCGCCGAGGGCCCCGAGCCCCTTCCTCTCGGCCGAGTGACCACAGCCTCGGAGCGAAGTTTCCCTTTGCAGGACCCCCAGGGACCTGGCTCGAAGCTAGCAAGAGCCATCGAGGCAGAGAGTTGGCGAGAAGTTATATTTAGATCTTCCTCATCCTGCATTTCCCAGCCTCTCATCCCACCCAAAGCTGGGAAAGTGGAGACAAGAGTGGCCTTTTGCCTGGCACCTGGAGGCCTCGCAGCTTGTGGGTCATCGATTGATTCCACGGCTCTGCTGTCGCGGCCATTCCGGGTAGATTCTTGCCCAACCGTAAATGGGCCGCTTTCCGTGCCCTTTCTCCCAAGAGTGGGGCTTGATTCCTAGGCAGAATAATAGCAGGGAGTCTTCGAAGGGAATGGTTCGGGAAAGTTTGACTGTGACATCCTCCTCTGCCTGCTTTTGGAGTTTGTTTGCTTAAAAGTAAAAACCACCCGTCGGGTGTTGGTATATTGAAGTCTGTTCTGCGCGGGAGGCTGATGGTGCTCACCCTATGTAAGATTTGAGTGTTCCAGTGCCCCTCAGATGATTACAGCTTAGGGGGAAAGTAGTCGAGTCTTAACCGATGAAGCAGCAGTGATTTTTACAGAGTTAGACGGTTTACAGAGGCAGTATGAGAATTCCTAGGCAATACGGGTTTCTAGGCCCAGACCCAATAGATAAACTTTTATCTCTTACTTAACTAGCTGGGGCTCAGATTTCTGCACCAGGCACTCCCGTTGTAGGTCACCGCAATCCATTCTTTGGAGAAATCTGCTCTAGATTCTTCTTTAAGTAGGATGGAAAACCAAGTTTAAGAAGACAATTCGTAGGATGGAGAGAAGGCTCAGCGGTTAGGAGCACTGATTGCTCTTTCAGAGGACCCTGGTCTGATTCCCAGCGCCCAGAGGATGGTTCACAATGACCTGAACACCAGTTTGGGGATCCAGTGCTGCCTTCTGACCTCCATGTGGTGTACAGAGATACATGTAGGCAAAATACCAATACACGTAAAGCTTTTTAAAGCGTTAAAATAAAAAAGGGGATGGAGTGGAGGAATTTCCTTATGTCATTTCTGGATAATTGATTCTATATGCTGGGTGTCGAGGCTACCGAACTGGTGATGCCGCCTATGTAGACAGCTAGGAGACTGTTTCTTTTCCCACAGTGTGTGCTCTTGACTTTGCTGAAGGTTCAGCTTTGTCCTAGTTTCTGTGTACGATAGTCATGAGTGTGTTAGCCAGGTGTGGTAGTTCACGCCTGTAACCCCAGCACTTGGGAGGCAGCAGCAGGAGGATCCCTGATACTTGAAGGCCAGCCTAAATAGGGAGTTCCAGGTCGTCTAGAAATCCAGGGCTACATTGTGAAAGCTTATTTAAACAACAACAAAAATAATACCACAAACAGATTTTTTTGCTTTCATCCATGTGAGGGTCTTGGCACACTGGACTATTTTCTGAAGTCTGTGTCCTGGAATTTGTTTAGCCCTGGCATGTAGGTCTCAGGAACCAGGTTTCAGCTGAGTCAGGGCTGCAAGTTGTGGCAGCCAAGGCCAGACTTCGTAGCACCTCTGTTGTGGACCGTTCTCTTTCTTCATGGTTGTGGTCAGAGCGGAAGGAACCCCTGAGGAAATAGACAGTTGGTGGACCTTGCCTCTTGAGATAATGGTGTAGTAAGGGCCTTGTGCAGATGGCTTCTTGCATTCAAATACCCATTGTCCCACTAGGTGCCCAGTACAGAGGATAAAGCTAACTAAGACACAGGGTTCAGTCCTTAGGTACCTGCTCTTTCCCAAATTCTGCTTTTAAGCGGCTGCTGCAGGTGCTTTAGCCGTCTCACCTGGTCAACAGCCAGCCAGGTTCTCTGGTCCCTGGAGGCATGAGCCCTGTGGGGTGGGGTGTAGGGGAGTAACTGTAGCAAATACAACTATATGAGGCCCCCCCAGACTCCACAGTGGGGTCCCATTTTTGGACACTAGCATTTGGGGCAATGTAAAACTGAAGATCCCCTGTTGTCCAGGGAAGTCTGCTCGTCTGGGTGGGGCCGGTGGGTTTTAGTACTCACTAGGTTCCCAGGAGCAGTGCTTCCTGGCATTAGGTCTGGGACCAGATAAGTTTAGGTTCCTCTCAGCAGTCAGCTTTCAAGCTTCTGTGCTGAGGAGTCAGCTCTGCCGTGGGGAGAGCAACTTTTCACACTGCCTGCCTTTTCTTCTGTGGGTCAGGGTGTGCCAGGCACTTGGAGACCTTTGTCTCACGCAGCTGTTTATCCCGATGGCAGGAGGCACCGTGTGCCTCATTTCTCTCCAAATGCTGGTAATACTGTTTGCTGCACTGAGGGAGTTCATTTTCTGCTGAATGAATCCAGGTTGCCAGGTTAGTCCAGATCAAGGTTTGGCCTGCTTTTGAACCTGCTGTTACTCTACATTTTCACATTCTTGTAACTCAGTGGCCTAGTGCACCCAGTGGCTTATGCAAAGGCACTTCATAATGTTTATTGAATTTAATTTCTGCTTCAGGATAGCTAGTGTTCACAGGTTGGAAAAGACACTTTATATCCCTATGCTTCAATTCAACAGACGGAAACACCACTATAGAAAGTGCTGTGACGTACTGTATGTTCTGGGAGTGTGTGTGGTGCCTCCCAAGTGCTGGAATTCCAGGCTTATACCACCAGGCCTGACTTTCCAGGTTCTTGATTTGGGTAACTGGTGAGTAAACCTTATTGTTCAGCTAAGGGAAGGGCACGGAGCTTGGCTTGGTTTAGGAGATCCCTGCTGGAACTTACAGCCCCAGCCTTGCCTTCCTTCCCAGCAGCACACTCTGTGTTAGGAACCTCTGCTGCACTGCTGTCCCAAGGAGGGTAAAGCGCCACTATTTTTTTTTCTCCCTGCTTGATGACCTTTTACATGGAATTAAAAATAGGTCAGAATGTGTCTCCAGAGGGGAAAAATGCTGTCAGGTGACCTGAGCCTGTCAAGTGACTTTTGTTTAACCCTAAAGCAGACCCTTTCTTGGGCTGCCTTCTGTCTAAGGGTTTGGCCTTGAGGTGAGAGCTTGGTGAAGGGTCTAAGGGAGAGTCCATTGGCCACTGCTGCTCTGCTTTGCCCTTGGCCGTGAGGCTTGTTTAGAATTTGGCTCCTATACTGTCTTAACAGGAATGTTTCAAGTACTGGAAGCACTTTTTTTTCTCAGCTTCTTTTTTATTTTCTTTTATTTTTTGTTCATTTTATGTACCAACCACAGGTCCCCCTCCTGCCCCTTCTCTCGCCCTCCCTTCCTGGACTGTAAGTACTTTGCAAGTAGAGTTTCTATCTGAGCTTCCTTATCTCTGTCATTCAAAATAATTCATTAGAAACTAACCTCACTTGAAAAAGAAATGATTGAGAAAAAGTATTGAATCATCAGAAAACCTAGAAAAATCAATCCATTTATTTGTTTTGAAACAAATTCTGTGGTCTAAGCCTCCTAAGTTCTGTCCTTGCACTTTATGTAGATCTTACCTAGAACACGTTCTGGCTTTCCCGCTCTAAACCATAGTTTTCTAATTTATTTCATTACCTCCTTTTCCTTTTAATCCGTTTTCTTAAGATAGGAACTCACAATGAAGTCCTGCTTGCCTGAAACCCAGTATGTAGAGCAGGCTGACCTCCAGCTCAGGGCACTTTGTCTACCCTGCCTTCTGGGTCCACCCAGGTACTCTGTTTAGTGCTCACTGTCTGCTCCCTATGCGCGCATCTGCTCAGCAGGCCTTCCTGCATAGTTATCTTTTCTTTGTCTCCACGTGCAATCATCTAAGATTTTTATAGGTGTCTCATCCTCACCGCAGTTCTATGGAGTGGGTGATAGCCCTAATCTATAGTTGAGGAAATGGACCTAAAAGAGGCAACTAGTTCACCATCACGTAGTAGGTGACAGGGCCAGAGTTCAAATCCAGGCCTATCTCACTTTGAAACTGGGTTGAGATTTCCAAAGAGCCTGACTGCTCTGTTTAGAGCTCAGAAGTAGCAAATACAACATAGGCTGGGCCTTTGGCCTCCTTCCTTTCTGGTTAATTGTCTGAGCTGTTTGGTGCCAGCTTGAGCAGTGTACTGACTGTACTTTCATTCTGTCTTAAAGAAACAAGACAGAATTTTGTGGGGGCTAGGGAGATGGCTCGGTGGTTCAGAGCACTGGATGCTCTTGCTGAGGACCTGGGTTCAATTCCCAGCACCCACATTGTAATGGTTTAAGTAAAATGCTGCGGATCCCCAGGGGTGCAACGACAGAAACACTGCAGGTCCCCAAGTGGCAGCAATGGGCAGCGGGCCATGAGACCCAGGCAGGGAGAGGCATGGTGGGTGAGAGACCTTGGCAGAACAGCTGGTCCCATGAGGAGCCGCAGCCATGGCAGGTGAGAGACAGACAGATAGGCACACCGTGCAGAGTGAGGTTGAATATTTATTTAATGGGTTATGGAAGGGAAGGGGAGAGGGAAGAAGAGAGAAGAGCAGAGAGGCGGGGAGAAGGGGAAAAGTAGGGAGAAGGAAGCAAGGCAGAAGCTACCTCTTTGGGAGACAGTAAGGCTGGGCTGGAAGCAGAAGGAAGATCTGCCTGCCCTCTGTGGTGGCCGAGGTGGGGGGGGGGCTTGTCTCTTAAAGGGAGAGGTCAGACCATTACACACATGGCAACTCACAATTATCTATAACTCCAGTTCCAGGAGAGCCAACATATGAAAATACCAGTGCACATTATTTATTTAAAAATAAATAATAAAAAAAGAAACCCATTTTGCTGTCAGTATATAAATGCTAAGCAGGGAAGAAAAGGCCTTTTTTTCTTTTTTTTTTTCTCTTTTTTTTTTCTTTTGCTACTCTACCTCAGATCTCTTAGGATAGCCTCTTGGGGCTTAAAGGGAAAGTAGTAAAGGTAACCCCAGATTGTTTAATTCTTGTTCACATGCCTGTTTTCTGAGCTGTGGAATTGAGACTGCTGCAGATAACATTGCTGTTATCTTCTCTAGTTTTCTATTCAGTGAGGGGGAAAACGGTTCACACATGTACAAAAATTTCGGTGGATCTATAAATGAAATCTAGCTAATGTTCCAAGTTTGCTAGAGTCTTGGCCCTCCTGGGAGGAGGAAATCCTTAGCACTCAGTTGGAAGACAAATGGCCTTTTAGGTTTCATAGGTGTGTGACCTGGGGCTTTTGAGTTTGGAAAAGAGCTAGGGCGTGTTAGTTAGCCCCACATCCTTTGTAAGCCGTGCTTCTTTGATTTCCTGAGGAGATACTGGAAGAAGAGTCTGAAGACAAAACTACAATGAGTTTCCTGTTCCATTGTCTCAAGAGTGCATCTGATCACAAGGCTAATGTCACTTACAGGAACTGTTAACAGTTATGTTTATTTTTTTGAGGGCTTGACCTTAGCCATTGGGTCTTTTAGTTCATCTTTCACCTTTTGTCGGGTCTTCTCCTTTGAAATGATGGTGATTTGGAGGAGAGAGCTCTTAGGAGAGAGTCAGATGAGTTTAGACATGATCAGCTCTCAGAGGATTTGGCTGCCGAATGTCTTCAGGATCATCATATTCAAGTGGAAGGCAATCTTATTTAGTTTGTGCTGTCTGTAGTTTGGGAAGGAGATTTTATGGAACTCTGGGAAGTCTCATTGTATGTGTAGGCTAAAAGAACCCGATTGTTCTCCTCAGGATGCATGAGTATTCATCTCTTGGGACTAGAGGGTGGTCTATCTATGGAAAGACTCTAGTTTGTTATGTGGAAAAGAATTCATTTACAACTCGTCACAAAGTGGACTAAGAGCTGGAGAGGGTTTCCTTTACCCTTGTCAGTCTGTGAAATGGGAACTTGAGCATCTTGTTCAAGACTCATGGGAGTCTTGAGGCAGACTGTTGCACAGGGTGTGGTGGTCCTCGGCAGGCCCGGCTGCTGTGGCTGCTGTGCAGGCTCTTTAGTCTCATTTCTTTGGGAGCCGCACTAGGTGGTTGCTGAGCTGATGCTTGTCTGGGAAGTAAGGTAGTTGCAAGAGGAAGTTGCAGAGCACTCTCCCCTCTTTTGTGAGCCTTTTTTTCTTTGCCAGCTTAGGAACTTTTTGATTAAAAATTCTGAAAAAGTACAGCTGGTATGTTATTTGTAGTAAAGACAATGAAGAATGACTTTCCTGGCCAGACGACTTGTTTGGTTTAAACTGAGAAAAACGGCTTGAGCTGGTTAGAGTTGCTGGTGTCCCCTGGATTCAGGAAGTGTTCTCTGAAGGTCTCCTTCTCAGGGGAACTTTGCAACATTTCGTTCCCTTTACATCGTGAACAGATTCATTTGTCTCTGTCCTTTTCCAGCAGGCCCGGAAGTGATTTTAGTGTGCTGTTGAGTCTTGGGGTAATTGCTATTTAGTTTCTTTAATGTTACTCTTCTATGTCAGTAGCTGTCTGATTCTTGTCTTTATGTTAACACTTTGGAACCAGCTGCAGAGGGCTCTGGAAACGCCATACCTCTGGTGATTCTGCGGGATCTCCACTCTTTATGTCTTTCTCTTTGTGTTTTTCTCTGATGCATTTTCTCTTTGTGTTTGTCCCCAGCCTCAGACTATGGCATGAAACTGCCCATCCTGCGTTCCAACCCTGAGGACCAGATCCTGTATCAAACAGAGCGGTACAATGAGGAGACCTTCGGCTATGAAGTACCCATCAAGGAAGAGGGGGACTATGTGCTGGTGTTGAAATTTGCTGAGGTCTATTTTGCACAGTCTCAGCAGAAGGTGAGGTGTGCTCAGGCCCCTGCTTGACCAGTGGCGCATTTCTGCTTTTGAGCAGTTGGGTACTCTGAAGCTAGAGCAGGGGCCTGTGAACCTTCTCAGAAGGGAGGAACAATGAGCTCTGAGGGAAAGTTGGATCCTCCCACCCTAGAGAAGCTGTGTCCCTGTGCCCATTGGCTGTTACCTGTCTTGGGTTGGTAACAAAATTGATCCTTTTAGGAGCCTTCTGCTTACTTCCCCCTAGATTCCCTTGCTAATTCCCTCTTTCCCTGGTGCTCTCCTGTCAGTGCCTCATTTCTCCCCATGATGCAGTAAAGAATCATGGTTTTGACTTGGCTCAGGTGAAGGACTGCAGCTACCTTGGAGTATATCCAGAGCCATAACTTATGAAAGCCAAGCAGGGGCATAATGTCTGATTCCTAAAGGGATGTGAGTTGATTGTTGTTGACATTTTTTTTTTCTCCTAATTCTAATTCTGGAAGGTATTTGATGTCCGATTAAATGGCCATGTTGTGGTGAAGGACTTAGACATCTTTGATCGTGTTGGGCACAGCACAGCTCATGATGAAATCATCCCCATGAGCATCAGGAAGGGGAAGCTGAGTGTCCACGGGGAGGTGTCTACCTTTACAGGGAAGCTCTACATTGAGTTTGTTAAGGTAACAGTCCCTGTGTTGTACCTCTGAGGAACAGGATGGTGTTTGCTGCCACACAGCTGACTGTGCTTTTCCATTCCCTAGGGGTACTATGACAATCCCAAAGTCTGTGCACTCTACATCATGGCTGGGACAGTGGATGGTAAGTTAGAATTTTTACCTTCTGCTTCTTGACTTGTGCCAAATGATATGATTGAGGAAGGCTTGAGATAGTTTAGCTGGTCATTATTTTGGAAATATTGAAAGCCAAATTATAGGGAATGCAGAGTCAGGTGGATAAGGACAAAGTATTGCATGGTGGTGGCCACAAGGATTAAAGTCAGATCTGTTTTCATTTCTTCCTGCTACTGTTTAATCAACTGTTGGCCTTGCACACACGTGCGTGCACGCGCGCACACACACACACACACAGAGAGAGAGAGAGAGAGAGAGAGAGAGAGAGAGAGAGAGAAAATAAATGTACTAGAATTATCAGAAATGTGCCTAAGTTCCATTTAGGGAGTGGTCTCTAGTCTTTTGGAGAAAAAGATAAAAGTAGGAGTCCCCTTGGATGTTGGTGTGTATTGTTACACTATGCTTAGATAAAGTTAATTTGTTAATGTCTACTTGGCCTTGGAGCTCAGCTCTATATATTTCATGCTCAGGATTTGGGTTACCCTGGCCACCAGCCTCCCAGGCTGATTTTTGCAGAGAAAGCTTGTATCTTAGCTCATTTTTCTTCCCCATATTTTCCCTATATATTCTCTTCTTGAATGTATAGAAAGTCTTCCTTAATTTTTTAGACTTATTTTTTTATGTGTGTGAGTGTTTTTTCTGTGTGTTTGTTATATATGCATCTCATGTGTGCAATGTTCTCAGAGCTCAGAAGAGAAACTGGAATTGTAGTTATGAATGGCTATGAGTCACCATGTGCTGCTGGGAACTGAACCCTGGTCTTCTGCAAGAGGAGCAAGTGTTCTTAACCATGGAGCTATCCTTTTAATATACCCACTTCACTCCCCAGTGCTGGTGTGACTTCTAGGAAGGTGATACTTTACCCCGGGACCATTTGAGTTCCTTAGGAGGAATCAGGACAAGTGTAGTGAGACTGGAGCCAAAGCCTGGTGGATCATTCCTTCAGTGGCTTAGAGAAGGAAGAAGAGGGTCTGAAATAAGTTTTAGATGTTGGGTCACTGACCATACCTAGTGTGGACCTCATGGAGCTTTGAAGTGAGACAGGAGAAGGAGATAGCCTCCCTGTGGGGAAGGCCCTGTATTACTTTTTAGTTAAATCTGAATGTGACTATGGTGCCTGTGTTCTGCTGTTTAGGTTAGAGACAGTTTCTGCTCCTTCCTGTGCGGACCCTGCCGAGGTCACAGGGATCTCTTTGTGGCTCATTCATTGCTTTGATCATAGGTGCTCTTAGTATACTTAAAAGGTATTTTCTTTTCTTCTTTTAGATGTACCCAAACTGCAGCCTCATCCAGGATTGGAGAAGAAAGAAGAAGAGGAGGAAGAAGAAGAATATGATGAGGGGTCTAATCTCAAAAGACAGACCAACAAGAACAGGGTGCAGTCAGGCCCCCGCACACCTAACCCCTATGCCTCTGACAACAGCAGCCTCATGTTTCCCATTCTGGTGGCCTTCGGAGTGTTCATTCCAACCCTCTTCTGCCTCTGCCGGTTGTGAGAACAAATGGCCATCCTCAGCAGGGTGGTGGGGAATGGGAAGGAAACCAAACATGGTGGTTTCTGTATTGACAGTGTTTAGCAAAACGAAAAACAAACAAAACAAGACACACACACAGACACACACAGACACACACACACACTCACACACACACTCACGCACATGAAAGAGATAAGAAGATAAGAAGCAGAGTGAGTAGGGGACAGCCCCACCTACCACTAGTCCCAGAGCTGCTCAGTCCTACTCTTTGTGGGTGGCCCCAGCTCTCTTTTTCTCTGGGGTACATAGGTGGGTGGATCCTTCCTCTCCAAGGATCCTTTTTGCATACCTAGTAGGAAGGACTCTGAACTCAGAGCGGTCATGGTTGTTGTTTTTTAGGTTAGACATTAAGAGCAGGAAAATGTCATATAACCTGGAAAGTTATAACCATACTGGGAATTGATTGTGTTCTGAATTTATGTCTTATGTGATTTCAGAAGTCATGGTATTCAAAGTATGTGTGTGGAGGAAAATAAGTTGGATGGTAAAGACAAAGAAAGGGGAAGAATTGGAAAAAAGAGTGAGCGCTTCTTTACTTGGACATCTTTCTGGGTTAGTCTTTTGATGACTCCACCTCAAGTTTCTTCATTGTCCTTTCTCATCTCCTGATGTGTGTCAGGTCCTCAAATTGCCTACAACTTGTTGCCACAACAGATGATTTTGTTTTCAGTGCCTGTTGAAGACTTGATTTCTTCTTGATTTTTCTCTTATTCTGGTTCATTTGAAATCTCTTCCCAATTCTCACTCTCAATTATAGAGCTAAGTTATTGTCGAAATGGGCAGGAGACTGAAGATTAGAGTTCTGTTTGCTTGAGTGTCTTACCCTCCACCACCTCACCTTGTTGGTACCTCCTTCCCTGAATCCCTGAGCCAGCAGCCAGGAGGACCTGACCCAGCAGCTCTTACTGGCCCCTCCATAGGGCCTTGCTGCCAGGGGACAGGGATGCTTTCCAGCCTGCAGCAACAGAACACTTGACCTTAACAGTCTCTTCTGGTCTTTGGATTAGAAAAGGCTTATGTTAGCAACCTCAGAGACTTGAGCCCTGTAAGTGACTGACCACTGTCAGAATGTCCAGAATTTGATGTTCATTTATCCCTGTGTCTTCTGTCCTACTTCAGCTAGTTTGGGTTTATGCCTAGAGTCACCCAAAGAACCAAAACTGGCTGCACCAGCCCAGCTGTTTTCCTCATTGATCATAATCGGATGCTTTACCACCCTTTCAGCCGCCTAGCAAGTAGCAGTCAAGATCTTCTTGCCCGGGGACTGAAAGACTCCTAGTCAGCCATGGTTCTGGAGGCTCTGAATGTCTAACTTTAGCATCAAAGTGTCTGTCTCAGATTCCCAGTAAATACTCTGTAGGGATGAAGTTTCCTTGTTCCCCAACTTTTGATCACCTTCATCTATTTGTCAGTTGACAACAGTGAGGGCAACCCAGCTAAACTAAAAGGGATTTTTTAGGTCAGAGGCAGCAGGATTTGTGAGTTGGAGCAGTATAGAATCTCAGGCCAGGCCCGTATTTCTAGAATGTGTTTAAATTTTGAGTCTGCCTTATCAGATATTTGAACTATGTGACAAAGTAAGTAACTCTTGGGCTCATATCCTTACTTTGGCTCCTAATGATGACTCCAGACCAGCATCTAGTCATTTGAGAACTATTATTTTCTCTGTGGCTTAGGCCTGCCCTAGGTACTGAGTTGGCAGCTGGATGGCTGTGGCCTGAGGTTGCTGTCAGGAGCACTTCCTGGAGTGCTTCCAAAGGTCATTCCTCAGGATGAGGTACTGCTATGGTCTTGGGGACCAACTGCTTAGAGCAACGTTTGTCCTGACTAATTGGGCTTCTGACAGTGACTTTGGTTCCTGGTCCATCACTATTTATAAACCTGTGGGCCACTGTCAGCGGATTAAACAAAATGAAGGAGAACAGCAGCCTCCATGTTGCCTTGTTTGCCTGGGTCTCTGAGAAAGGGTGTGTGTGTGGGGTCCTGCCTCCTCACCCCAACTCTTCCCTTTGGTGACTCAGAGCCTCAGAAGGAAACCCTGACTCCTGGGGCCGTTTCCTATGGTACTGTAAGCCAAGCAGCTCTACTTCTGCCTCTGTTTCCAAGCCCACCCCTTCCCGTAGGGATAGGGACGGGTGCTTTCCTCTCTAGTTGTGTCCAAACGGAAGGAACATCTTTCTGTAGCTAACAAAAACTAAAAGGGAAGTGAGGAAACAGCAGGGAAGGAGTATGGTGGGGGCTGGGGTAGAGTCCCCTGAGCCAAGCCTGCCCAGCTAATAAGAGCTGCTTAGGGCTGGCCACAGCCAGCTCATAATGTTGAACTTGAAAGCTTTTTTCCCCCTCCTCCAAGATGATGTAGGTACATGAGGTTTAGGTTAAAGGGATTGGGTGGGGTCATGCTTTATTTTTATTTTTGTATTGTATGTGTCAAGAATTACTCCATTGTTCATTTTGCTTTTTGCACTGTTCCCTTCTCTGTGTTTTGAGATAGTGCAAGGAGTGTGCCTGGGATTGGATGCTGTGAGTGGTACCACTGAGAGAGTTGGACAGGAGAGGCCCAGGTTTTCTGTTTGAGCTATAGTCTGATTCAGGGCTTTAGAGTCCACTAGTCAAGCTGGCAGAGGTAAAGGACAGACAGCTTCTTTTTGCCTGAAAGGTGTTCCTCTTAACATTTGTGGGAGGAGCAAGCAAGGCCAGCTGGGTAGAGCCTGCAGGTCCAGTGTGGTTTAGTCAGGCCAGCTGGCCTCTGAGTTGCTTCGGGTCTTATTCAAACTATCTTCAACATTGTGCCAATAACTGATTTGTGGGGTTCATGTCTCTCAAACCAACTCTATTCTTCTGGAAAGTCTCCACTTCTAATGAGAAGCTGCTCAGTGGATACCCACAGTTCTGATAGTTAAAAGATAGTCTTCACAAACCCATGGTGTCAGAGGGGCCACCTGTTGATTAAAGACGTGGCCTTGTTTTTTTGCTTCTTCTGACTAGGAGATCCCAGGGTCATGTGAGTGAGCCTTGATGAGGCGGGTAAAGTTTACCTTGTCTGATGCCCGCGTTCTGTGCCTGAGCAGTCTTAGAGCTGTGGTCTGACTCCTTTGCTTTTGTTGAGAAGCTTCTGTTTTAAGGAATTTCTCTTGTTCTATCCCCAGCCTCTCCTGGGAAGGCCTGGCCCTGGTCTAGACTCTTAGCTGAGAATCTGAGAAAATGGCAGCAGTACCCTTTCTTTTAGCACTCAGATCCCCCTCCTTTGAAACTGGCTCACCTGGAGGAGTCCAGGGAGGCATCAGTAGGTTCTCTCCCTCCCTGGGAACTGGGGAAGGACCCACCCCGGTCAGCACAGTGCCTTTTTCTCCCCTGCTCTGAGTCAGGTGGGCATCCCTAACCCTCTATAGATTCAGGCCTGGGCAGGGGTCCTACAGTCCCTGCCATGGGGCTGTTTCCCTATCTCTCCCTCCTTGCTGGCCTACACAGACATTATTCCAGTGTCTTCTTGCCTTGAGGAACCTTAATGGAATTGTGGCCACCACATGTGACACTTCTCTGTGACTATAAGGACCTAGGAGAACAGGTGAGCTTTCTCAAGTGAGAGACTAACAGATGCTCCTGCTATTAAAAGACAAAGCTAGGGAGACTACTTTGGGCCTCCTGTTGTGGCCTCTGAAGAAGGCGATTCTCAGGTAAGACTGACTGAGAGTACACACACAGGAGCAAAACCACAGACACCTAGGGTCTGCTCGGAGATCACAGAAGAACTTGGCCTCTCTTCTGTGGAAGATGTAATTAGGGATCAGAGTGTGCTAAGAAAATTGCAAAGAAGCCTTACTGCCCACACCAGAGAGCTCAGGGTGACTTTCTCTTCCGGCTGGAGCTAAAACTCTCTGTGTTCGGACTTCTCCTCAGGCAAGGGCTAGATTTCTTCATAATGATAGAAGACTACCTTGGCACTGGTGGTCAGCTGCCTAGGGAGGCCTGGTTTCTTTGTACGTGTGTGGCTTGCGACCTTCCCCACCTGCTTTTGCTTCATTTGCTCTGGGTGGTGAGATCATCTTGCTAAGAGCAGATTTGGGGCTGACTCGGTTGGCAGGAAAAGAACAGAGTGGATCTCTTGGGATGGGTTCCTCTCAGGAGTGTAAAAACAAGGGGCTGCGATTGTGCTGGCAGCCAGGGAAACAGTAGTGCCTGTTGAAGTTGGCAGAGAGGGCCTTGGCACGCTTGCATCCAGGCAGTCTTGTGCGATGGGAGCACATAGCATCGGGAGAAGCAAAACTCCATCCTCACCTCTATTTTGAGCTTAGTGCTTTATTTCGGTATGAGGAAAAACAACAACAAACTGAAGTGTGCTTTCCGTCCTTTCAAAGGACAACTGTCAGGAAAGGAGAGCTGAGGTGCCAGGTGGGGGGGAGACTTGGCAAGGAGAGATGTCGTGGCAAAATCAGGAAAAGAGACCTTCTTGACTCTGCTCTTCCTTGGTGTGCCACGATCCAGGGAATGAAAAGAAATTTGACCCTGGATTAGTTCCTTTGTTGGAGTTAAAGAACATTGCCTTTCCACAAAGTCCCGCTGGGATAGGATGGCTATCCATTCTTAGCTCAAGGCAGTCTCTTCAGCCACTGTTGGCCCAACCTGGCTTGTTAGGAAACTAGCCCCACTGCTCAGTATTGAACCTGGCTGCTTTGTGTGAAACCGCAAGTATTGGAGAAAAAACATCAAATCCTTAGTAGGTCCTGTAGCTCCTGTTCCTTCCCATCTTTCCCTGCGAGGGCAGGCTGACTTTGTGGCCACACCATGCATTTACAGCAGTGCATACCAAGGTATACTCGAGGGGCTTTGAACCTGCTGGCCAGGGAAGCAGTAGGGGTGGATAGAGCTATCTTTCCTTCCGGGCTGTCTCCATCAATCTCTACCCCTTCCATGCCCCACCCTACTCCCACCAAAAAATTTAAAAAATCAGGATGTTTTTCACTGTCCATTGCTTTGTGTTTTAATAAACAATTTGCAGTGATACTCGGTGTTGAGATTGGATTTTAACTCACAAAAACGTGATGGTAGTGCTATGGCAGCACACCCTTGTCATCCCAGCCCTCGAAAGGATCAGGAAGTGTAGACCATACTTCAGCCCCACCCCCAAAAGACCAGTGAGATGGTTCAGCTGCCACCAAAATGATAACCTGAGTTTGATCCCCAGAGTGTGGAAGGAGACCTCTGCACACATGCTGTGGCACCTCCCCAGTAGATCGGTAAATGTATCCCCCAAATAATAATACAAGGTAATGTGGGGAAAGGGAGGGAGACCAAGGAAGATTAAGGGAATGATATTCTCAGACTGGGGCTGGGAAGATGGCTCAGCAAGTAAAAGTCCTTGCCACCCAGCCGAATGGCTCGACTCAGATCCTGGAGCCTGCATGGGGAAGGATCTGACCTCCAAACATAGACCTGAACATGCTTCCCCACACTCCCACTACATAATAATAATTCTTGGCCTGACTGCCTCATTCAGCAGTGCACTTCAGGAAAAATCAAGTTAGTGTGTTTCGTTTGAATCTGACTGCAATACCCAGTCCTGACTTGGCACACAGTCCTTCATCTGGGTGTGCTCCTTGTCCTGAACCCTCTATTGGGAGGTGACCTACAAGCAGAGCTAAAGGGTATTTATTTCTCTTGCAAGTGGAAGGCCAGAATATGGGAAGGGTTTTTTTGTTTGTTTTTGTACTTATTTTTCCCCCCTCACTAAAACTTAGCAGCTATGTTTTACAGCTGTAGTGCAAGGCACTCAAAATGTCAGTAATTTGCCTCAGGCAGGGTAGATGGTCAAGCCGTGGCTTAGACTCAGTCTTATCTACCATCAGTGTTCATATTCTTTTTGGGTTATGCTAATAATAGCTGGATCCCCAAGTGAGCCTTTCAAATGGGCTGGACACAATGCCAAGCACAAACAAAAACGCACAGGACTCTTGATAGTTTTATTTACTTTTATATCAGGTCTCACCATGTACCCTGGCTAACTGAGACCAGACTGACCTCTGCCTGCCTCTCTTTCTGAGTGCTGGGATTAAAAGTGTGCCAACCATTCCTAGTCCTGCATGATTACTCTCCACTGCCTTCCATTTCCCCAGAATGTCTTCCGCTTCTCCTAACAGAAATGGAAGTTTCTGGCTTTGTGTGGTGAAGGAGGAGTTTGTCCTGCCTGCTGGGTTATCCTTTCAGTGGCAGAATTCAGTACCCTGCTCTAAGAATAAAGATAGTGTTGATGGAGTCTGTTCCCAGGGCCCACGGAGACTCTGGCTGAGCCTACTCAAAGGTAGGGAGGGTTCTCACTATTTGAGAGGTAAATAATTCAGAGGTGTTACTATTTAAGTGCCGTAACAGGAGTGACCTGCCAAATGGGGATGGGACCTGAAAAAACACCACTCTCGGGACTTAACAGGGAGGGAAACTGTCTGACAGAAGATCTTGGGCCAAGTGCCACTGTTGGGTTGGACCACTCTGGGGTTCTAGATATTAATCTTACTTAGGAAATCAGGCTCCCGGTTGGCTGGAGCCTGTGTGTCAGACCTTCCTCCATACTTAACACACCTCACCCCCACCCCATCCTCCATAGAGGATGTTAATATCCTAACACTGGGGCACTGGGGCGGAACATGGAGGCTCTGGAGTTGACAGTCCTAAGAGTCTTAATTTTGTTTGTTCTTAGCCACATGCAGTAGTAGCAAAAAGTAAACTCCCCACTCCTTTGGCTCAGGCCTTGTACTAAAAATTGTCAGAGGCTGAGTAGTAGCTCAAACCTTTAATCCCAGCACTTGGGAGGCAGAGGCAAGTGGATGGATCTCTAAATTCAAAGTTTGAAGTCATCCTGGTCTACACAGCCTGACAACTGTGGACTCAGATTCAGGGGAGGAATGGAGGAATGACCTACCCCGAAGTCCCACAGCTGCTGTAACTGCTTCTAAGACCTGGACTTTATAATTATTTGAGACAAAAACTTAGCTATATAGCCTTGGCTGGCCTTGAACTTGTGATCTTTCTGCCTTTACCTCTCAAGTGCCCATTCCAAACCTGTACTTTAATGCCATGATAAAGGTGCCTGCCATAATAAATAAAACCTGCCTGAGGAAAAGTAAAACAGCTACACTGGCCAGCCTTACAGACCAGGCAGCAATGACACACACCTTTAATCCCAGGAGACACACTAGTTATAGAAACCAGGCAGTAGTAGTCCACGCCTTTAATCCCAGAACTAGAGGGGATTATAAAACGGGAGGAGACAACTTTCACACAAAGTCTCATTCTGAGATTCCTGGAGGCAGGATCGCCATTTTTGGACTGAGGCCGAAGAGCCTGTGACTGGCTATTCTGCTTTTCTGACCTTCAGGTTGGTTTTATTTATTAAAATACAAGTGAAATGCCAATATTTCCAAGTCTGAAAACTTTTCCTGGAACTCACAGGATAAGCGAGAAACAAATTTATTCCTACCTGTCTTCTGGTTTCTATGTGCATGCTGTGGGATGTCCACATGTATGTGCATGCTGTGGGATGTCCACACGTATGTGCATGCTGTGGGATGTCCACAC